TGGGGGGGGGGGGGGGGGGGGGGGGGGGGGGGGTTGGTGCTCACGAAATGGGCGGGGCGTGCATGATTTTATTGTTATGCGAAATTTCAAAAATTAGGAGTGTTCGAATTCGAATGCATTACTACTTCCACGGTACCGTGTACTAAACTACTGGTCTAAAAATATTGTTAAATATGGCAGTGATTCGAAACCTCTAGGACAGTCCAACAAGCCTATTCGTAAAAATCAAGGATGTTCACGGGGGTACTACTCCCTTCGACTTTGCGCCCCTCTGTTTCTTCGTCAAGCGTTTTTATTAGTTCTCTTAAAACGCTTCGACTGTCATTCTTTCTGTTCATTCTAATTTATTCGCACGTTGGTCTTCCCAATTTTCTTAGGATCCCAGAACGTAAAAACGTCGAATACGTGGATCGTCGTCGTCGAAAGAAAAAAAAAACTAATTCTTCAATTATTATTCGATCAAATGAAATAATTCAATTCTATGAAATTGTTTAAGTGATCGGCGTGGCAGTCAAAGCGTTAACTCTTTGCACGGTGATTCTGAGGCACCGCTAGAAATTGTTATGTCACGTTCCAAAGTAATTGTTGCATCATTAAATTGTGCAAAGGATTAATAATACACAGAGGTACGCGACAGAGGGGTCGCGAAGCGACGGAAATCAAAAAAGGGTAGCATTTCATGTGCACCAATCTAAAAAGCGTCGTAGAACGACGGAGTGCATGAGACAGAAACAGAGACAGAGACAGAGATAGACAGAAGACAGAGAAGTAGTAGAAGAGGGAGAAGAAAAAAGAGAAGCAGAAGAAGAAGAAGAAGAAGAAGAGGCTAGAAAGAGTGCCACTTACCCTAGCTTCTGCGGTGAGAATATAACCCTGGTCCAGGGCTTTCGCGAAGTCAAGCCTCTTTCCCGATGGGTCTCCGCGTAGCCTGCCCTCTACGGGGTCTACTATCCCGGTGCTAATCGCCTCTAACAAACTAACGACTTTACCGGTCCCGGGTTCTTTGATCACGGTGCTGGACGGATCAATCGAGCCGGCCTCGATCGCCTCGGTCAGCGTGGCCGGTTTACGATCTAGGGCGGACGCGACGCGGAACGGGTCTTCGAAGGTGCCTGACACCGGGTCGTACAGTCCGAACTGCAGGGTCTCGATGAAGGACAGGCCTCGTTTCGGCGTGATCAGGAGCTCCTCGTCGAGAGCCCTTGCCAAAGGGTACAACCGAGAGCTCATCGTCTCTAGCACGTTCCCTTTGTCAGCGTCCATCAGGCCCTTCCTGATGCCCTCGGCCAGTTTAACCAGCTTCTTCTTCTTCGTGTCTTTGATCAACGCGGAGTCGGAGTCAACGATCCCGAGGCCTACGGCCTCCTTCAACGTTACTAGCTCGCTCGTTCTCGGGTCGGTCAGTTTCCCAGTTTCCACGGACAACGAGCCACTCTCCAGGGCCTCCTCGAAGGTCAGAGGCTTCGTCAGGAACACCTCTACGTCTCCAAACTTGACGAATCGAGGCGCGGGCTTGCCGTCGGGTGTCTTCGGCGAAATCGATTCGATGATCCCTTTGCTGGCTGGGTCTAAGACGCCGTCCGCCAGAGCAGTGTTCGCGGTGACGAACCTGCCGCTCTTCGGGTCTCTGGCTACGGCAGTTTCAGGATCTATCAAGCGACTCTCGATCGCCTCTTGGAGGGAGTACTCTCGCTTGGGCTCGTCCTTGCGGGTGAAGCTTCGTCTAGGCTGGTGCGTCAAGGGCTTCTCCAGGGTGACCAGAAGGCCCCGCTCCAAGGCCACGTCTATGGGGTACGCGCGTCTCGTCTTTGAGTCGAGGACACGGCCATGGGGCACGTCTATGGCTCCTGTCTCGATGCCGACAGAGATAGGCGTGATCTGGCCGGTGGTGGCGTCCTTCAGGGCGGTGGTGTCGGGATCTAGAAGAGCAGCGTCAAAGGCACGGATCAGATCTAGGGTTTCGTTGCTGCGAGGATCCACGAACAGCCCGGTCTGCGAACGATAGAGATCGCTGACCACCGCTTCCTCTATGCTGAGCGGCAACTTCGAGGGCACGATGTGTCCCTTCTTCAGGGCCTCCTTCAGATCTATAGGCTTCTCTGAAATGGCGTTGTAGGTGCCACGGGTGTCGTCGATCGCGCCCGACGAGATCGCGTCGGTCAGCGATACGTACTTGTCCGTTCTAACGTCTCTGACGATCGAGGCTACGGGGTCGATCAGCTCCGACCGACAGGCCTCCGACAAGGTCAGCTTCCTGTTGGTCGAGGGGTGCACGAACTTGCCGGTGGTTGGCTCGTAGGTGTTCATCGTGATCGCTTGGTGCAGACTGAACTCCGTCGTCTCGATGTCGACTATCAGGCCCAGCTGCAGGGCCAGGCTGAGGGACACTGTCCTGTTGGCTCCAGGCTCCTTGAACATGCCGGATCGTCTGTCTATCACTCCAGCTCTGCAGGTCTCGGCCAACGAGAGCAGCCTGTCGGCTCTCTTGTCCCAGTAGCAGGGCAACGTTGGACTGACCAGGCAGTTCCTCATGGCCTCGTGCAAGGTCACCGATCTTCCAGTGCTGGGGTCGGTGATCTTGCCGGTATGATCGTCGTAAAGACCTTGGTGGATCGCTCTCTGCAGGGACACTGCTGCTCTGTGGTCCACTATCAAGCCAGCCTGGAAGGCCTCCTGCAAGGACATGTCGGAGTCAGCGGTAACGTTCACCTTGCCGCTCAGACCATCGACGTAGCCGGTCTTGATGGCCTCCATCAGCGATATTCTCTCTCTGAAGCCGCTTCTGCCATCCTTCACGGTCACGGAGACCGCGTCGATCAGGTTCCTCCGGATCGCCTCGAGCAGACTCAGATAAACGCCGGACTGAGGATCGAGGAACATGTTGGTCCTTTCATCGAGGATCCCTTTGGAGATGGCCTCGCTGAAGGTCATCGGTCTTCTCGCCTCGAGGAGCAAACCGTGCTCCAACGCCTCCCGGAAGTCCAGTCGTCTTCCTTTCTCGTTGGTCACCGTGCCGGTTTTCGGGTCGACGATTAGCTCCTTGATGGCCTTGTCGAAGGTGATAGCCTTGCCATCAGTCTGGCGGACTACCACGGCGGTGCTGGGATCTATCACGCCTGCCTTGATGGCCCGGTCAGTGGGCAGCTTCTCTCTGGTCTCAGGAACGATGAAGCGTCCGGTGGTAGGTTCATAAAGGCCCTTGAACACCGCCTCCGGGAGGGAGATCTTCCTCTTGGCTGGCACGATGAGTCCCCGATCTAGGGCATCTGTCAAGGACAATGGAGTACTGGTGGTTGGATCGATAGCTGTACCTGTCTTAGGGTCTATCAGACCCTGCTTGATGGCTTCGCCAAGAGAGATGATGTCGCTGTTCTTCGGATCCTTCACCGAGGGACTGTCTCTGGCGATGAGACCCAACTCCAGCGCCTTCTCAAGAGTGTAACTCTCTCCATCTATGTCGAAGGTGCCTTTCTCAGGGTCATAAGACTGATGAGCCAAGGCTTCCTGTAGAGACCACGGTTTCACGGTGCTGAGGATGAAGCCTTTCTCATGAGCGACGTCCAGCGTCATCGGATGCGGCGAGATCAAGATACCCTTCTCAAGGTCGATCAACTGGTTGTCCTCTGCCTCCTGCAGGGATAGGACTCTGTCGTTGCGGTCGTCTCTGACCACTGTCGTTTCTCCGTCGACATAGCCGGTCTCTAGAGCCTCTTTCAGCGTAGTCTCTTCTCCTGTCGTGGGATTAGCGACCAGGCCAGTTGTCGGACAATAGTACTCCTGAACGATGGCGTCGATCAACGAGGGAACGAATCTTGTGGTGGCTATGATGCCTTTCTTCAAGGCTACGTTTAGAGGCAGCAATTCTCCTGTCTTGGTGTCCCGTAGACGACCTGTGCTGGGATTCAGCAGCTTCGACTCGCCCAGAGCATCTTCCAGGGACAAGAATGTCCCGGCCTTTGTGTCCTCGCACTCGCTGATGAACGCGTCTATCAATCCTCTGCGGACACTTTCTTCGACATCTATTTCCTGCTCGGTTAACGTGTCTAGGATCTTACCGCTGGCCTCGGAATACAGGCCCCTTCTTATGGCGGCTTCCAGAGAGATTGGCTTGCGAGACTTGGGAGCTATCAACCCTTTGGCAAAGGCGTCTTCTAGATCCACCTTTCCGCCAGACTCTAGCACTTCCTGAAGAGTTTGCACCTCGTCGCTGACCGGATCTCTGACGCAAATAGAGCTGCAGTCGATCAAGCCTGACTCTATTGCTTCGTCCAACTTCAGCATTCTGTTGGAAGCAGGATCCCGGACTTCACAGGTCTCAGGGTCGAACAGTGCTTCCTCCACAGCCTCCCGGAAGGTCAGACACTCCTGACCAGCAGGTACGACAGCCTCGGAAGGCTCCACCTGCTTTATCAGACCCAGCTTCACAGCCTCGAAGAACGGAATCTTCTTGCCTGTCTTCGGGTCCACCATGTAGCCCAGATTCCTGTCCACCAGTGGCTTCAAGATTGCTTCGCGTAGAGGAACGTACGTATCTGCGGATAGATCTTTCACTATCACGCGATATGGGTCCAGCATGCCCAGATGGATCACAAGGTCGTTGAAAGGGACTATGTCTCCTGTCTCTGGGTCCATGAACTTCTCTTTCTCTGGGTCGTAGGCTCCTCGGGCGACCAGGTCCTTGGCTGTTAAGTTGGGACTAACTTCAATCAGGAATCTCCTTCCTCTCACAGGCTCCTTTTGGTCCTGGTCGTTCTCCTGTTCTTCAAATTCTTCAGGTTCTTCCAGTTCTTCAAGTTTTTCAGATTCTTTAAATTCTTTAAGTATGCCAGGTTCTTCCAATTCTTCAAGTTTTTCAGATTCTTTAGATTCTGTAGGTATTTTAGATTCTTTAAGTTCTTCAAGTTCGCCAGGTTCTTCCAATTCTTCAAGTTTTTCAGATTCTTTAAATTCTTTAGGTATTTTAGATTCTTTAAGTTCTTCAGGTTTTTTAAGTTCTTTAGATTCCTTAAATTCTTTAGGTTCCTTAAATTCTTTAGGTTCCTTCAGTTCTTTAGATTCTTTAAGTTCTTTAGGATCCTTAAGTTCTTTAGGTTCCTTAAGTTCTTCAGATTCTTTAAGTTCTTTAGGTTCCATAAGTTCTTTAGGTCCTTTAAGTTCTTTAGGTTCCGTAAGTNCACTCGCTGATGAACGCGTCTATCAATCCTCTGCGGACACTTTCTTCGACATCTATTTCCTGCTCGGTTAACGTGTCTAGGATCTTACCGCTGGCCTCGGAATACAGGCCCCTTCTTATGGCGGCTTCCAGAGAGATTGGCTTGCGAGACTTGGGAGCTATCAACCCTTTGGCAAAGGCGTCTTCTAGATCCACCTTTCCGCCAGACTCTAGCACTTCCTGAAGAGTTTGCACCTCGTCGCTGACCGGATCTCTGACGCAAATAGAGCTGCAGTCGATCAAGCCTGACTCTATTGCTTCGTCCAACTTCAGCATTCTGTTGGAAGCAGGATCCCGGACTTCACAGGTCTCAGGGTCGAACAGTGCTTCCTCCACAGCCTCCCGGAAGGTCAGACACTCCTGACCAGCAGGTACGACAGCCTCGGAAGGCTCCACCTGCTTTATCAGACCCAGCTTCACAGCCTCGAAGAACGGAATCTTCTTGCCTGTCTTCGGGTCCACCATGTAGCCCAGATTCCTGTCCACCAGTGGCTTCAAGATTGCTTCGCGTAGAGGAACGTACGTATCTGCGGATAGATCTTTCACTATCACGCGATATGGGTCCAGCATGCCCAGATGGATCACAAGGTCGTTGAAAGGGACTATGTCTCCTGTCTCTGGGTCCATGAACTTCTCTTTCTCTGGGTCGTAGGCTCCTCGGGCGACCAGGTCCTTGGCTGTTAAGTTGGGACTAACTTCAATCAGGAATCTCCTTCCTCTCACAGGCTCCTTTTGGTCCTGGTCGTTCTCCTGTTCTTCAAATTCTTCAGGTTCTTCCAGTTCTTCAAGTTTTTCAGATTCTTTAAATTCTTTAAGTATGCCAGGTTCTTCCAATTCTTCAAGTTTTTCAGATTCTTTAGATTCTGTAGGTATTTTAGATTCTTTAAGTTCTTCAAGTTCGCCAGGTTCTTCCAATTCTTCAAGTTTTTCAGATTCTTTAAATTCTTTAGGTATTTTAGATTCTTTAAGTTCTTCAGGTTTTTTAAGTTCTTTAGATTCCTTAAATTCTTTAGGTTCCTTAAATTCTTTAGGTTCCTTCAGTTCTTTAGATTCTTTAAGTTCTTTAGGATCCTTAAGTTCTTTAGGTTCCTTAAGTTCTTCAGATTCTTTAAGTTCTTTAGGTTCCATAAGTTCTTTAGGTCCTTTAAGTTCTTTAGGTTCCGTAAGTTCTTTAGGTTCCGTAAGTTCTTTAGGTTCCGTAAGTTCTTTAGGTTCTATAAGTTCTTTAAGTTCTTTAAGTTCTTTGAATTCTTTAGGTACTGCAGCTTCCGCTTGCTTTTCTAATACTTCTCCGTCTTCTGTCTTTGATAAGTTCTCAAGTCTTTTCTCTTCCCTGTGCTGGTTCTCCATCTTTTTCTCAAACTTCTCTTCTTCAACAAGTGGCTGTGTAATCTTTTCCTTCGCCTGTGGCATTGAATCCTCTGCCGAAACATCCCGACTCTTTTGCTGAGTCTGTAATTCCTCTATTTTTTGCACTTGTATCTCTGATACGTCTTCTATCGTGACTGTACTCTTCAAAGTCTCTTCCATCTCCGTCTTTCGACTTTCTGTCATCAAGGACGTGTCGGTTTCTGTCACCGAGGGTACTTCAGCTTCTTTGGACTCAATCTGTTGCTTCGAATCCTCAGATTTCTCTGATTGTTCCATTACCGGCTTCCTCTCAACTTGTTCCTTTTCTTTGATGGGTTTTTCTGACGGTGACTCAGCCTTTTGATCACCAGGCACTGCTGATTGCTTATCTAATCCAGCTGACAAACTCTTCTGCTCTTCCATCGGACGTGACAAGGTTCTACTTTGTTCTCTAGGCTTGTCAGACTCTTTGTCTTTGTCTTTGCTAGCAGCAGCATCCTTGACGGCATCGTACACCGCTTTTCCAGCAATGACGGGCGCAGCTACCACTGCCAACAGCCCAAACTTCGCGGCCTGTGCCAGGTTGACGCCTCCGCGACCCTCTGTGTCCTTCATCTTCCCTGTAGCAGGGTCTATGATACCCCTGGCAACTGCCTCCTTGGTGGTCACAGCCTCTGCTGTCCTGGCATCGTAAACCACAGTGTTAGGATCCACCAGTCCTGTCTCCATCGCTTCGGTAAGCGTATAGGCCTTCTTGGTTTCAGGATCCACAAACCTACCAGCATTCTCATCATAGACACTTTCAATTTTCTCAATGGCTGCAGTTGTGTCCAACTTGTCCGTCGGAATATCCAGAAGACCGTTCTCAATGGCGTCTTGGATAGGCATAGCAACACCTGTCGAAGGATCTGTGTAGGTACCAGCTGCGACGTCTACAAGACCGTTCTTCAAGGCGTCGTCGAAAGTCATTTTGATATCTTTGGTAGTGAACTCCTCTCGTCGCTCAGACTCATCTCTGACGATGCCTCTGCTTCTAGCTTCCTCTATGCTGATCTTCTCCCCGGTCTCTGTGTTCCGTATTTCCGCGGCGTTCACCAGCTCATAGCCAGACAGAATTCCCAAGGTCTTGGTGGTCACCGTGTGATAAGAGGTGACGGTCTCAGTGATGCCACTGGTGGTAGTTGTAGTGACAGTGGTCGGCGGTTTTACGACCAGCAGACCTGACTCAATGGCTTCGTATATAGGTACCGGGGTTCCAGTTGTTGGATGAACGAAAACTCCCTTCTCCCTGTCGATCAGGCCAGCCTCCAGGGCTTTGGTCACCTCCATACTGTCGGAGGCCACAGGACCAGGCAAAGACATGATGAAGTTACCCTTGATAGCGTCCTCTAGAAGTAGACGTTCCTCCGTTAGCGGGTGCTTGATCTGAGTTCCACTTGCATCGATGAGTCCTCTTTCCAAGGCCACAGCGAACGTCATCCCAGCAGGTGGGATATGCTGCTCACTCTTCTCAAAGTCATCGAACACATTGCTCTCAACGGCCTTCATCAAGCTCACGCTGTCACCACCGCTGGTCTTTATCAAAGATTTTTCAGGGTCAACTAAGTTACAGTTTATAGCGTTGCGGAGGGTATCCGTGCGACCATCTGAGCAGGTCAGCTGGGACAGAGGATCTACGATCTCGCAGAGGATGGCTTCTCTCAGGGTCAACCGCGCACCTGTCTCTGGGTGAACAACCTTGCCATCCTCAGGGTCCAGGAGACCCTGTTTGTACAGTCCGGGGATAGAGAGGCTCTTCGCTAGAGGCACAAGGACGTCTGCGCTTTCGGGGTCCAAGATCCCGCGTTCAACAGCCTCTCCGATGCTGAGGACGTCTCCTCTTTGAGGGTCGAGAATCTTCCCGGACGATGCGTCGATTTTCTTGCTCTTGATCGCTGCCGACAGACTCACAGGCGCTCCATCTTCCACGCCCATGTTCTCTGCGAAGATCTCTGCAGTTTCTGCGTCGATTAGGCCACTCTCCAGAGCCTCCTTGGTCTTCACCACCCTCTTTCTCATCTTCTGAAGCACTATAGGTTTCGCTGCACCGTCCAAATCCGTCACCACCGCTTTGCCAACAGTCACTTTGTATTTCGGCTCGTATTTCTTTGCCTTTAAGTCTTCTTCAGCATCACCCTCTGTCCTCGATACAGAGTGCTCTTCGCTGGTCGCTGCTGTGGGCGAAGAATCGATCACAGAATCTATCATCGATCCGGTCCCGATCGCCGAGTCCAGCTCGGAAACGGAAGTAGAAGTGGTTGGTTTACCTGGTGTCTCTTCAGGTTCGGCATACGACGTTTCTTCTCCGGCGATCATCTCGATTTCGGCCTTCTGGAAGTCTGAGAACGCCATTGTTGGAGACGAGGCTGTTACTGGAACCAACGGTGAACCGAGCACGGAGACTACGCCGAACTTGGCCGCGTCCAGCAGAGATATCTTCCTGTTCTCGTCGAGCTTGTACTCGGTCGTCTTCGCGTCCACTATACCTCGCTCGATGGCCTCCACTATGCCCACATCCTTTCCTGAGACCGGGTCTTTCACGACTACCACCTCGGCCGGCAGAGTGCCCTCGAAAAGCGCAGACAAGAGCTCGCTGGACCTTCCAGTTTCGGTAGATATGACTAGAGCGGTGCTTGGATCGTAGATCAGACCCTTCGAGACTCTAACAGGATCCGGTATCGCGTGGCTAGCTTCGTTGATCTTGATCTCCAGCGGCCTCGACGGGTCATCTTGTCTAGACAACTCCAACTTATCCGGTTCTCCGGAGAGTTTGGTGATCCTCAACAGCCTCTGCGAGTTCTCGATTTCGGTATGTTTGTCCTCGAAAATGACGAAGCCTTTCTCGATGGCTTCCTTCATGGTAATCTTCTCAGGGACGCAATAGTGTCCGGTGGAGTCTAAAATGTTCTTCTCCAGGCTCCTCAGCAGTGACACCTTCCTGCCATTGTTCGGGTCGATTACGAAACTCGAATTCGGGTCTATTATTCTTAGCTTGACGCACTCCTCGAACGAGACCAGTCTGTCCGTTCCAGGGATGATGAATAGGCCCGAGGTAGGGTCGAATAGTTTCCTCTCGATAGCCTCGGCGAGAGACCAGCCGTCCGTTGGAAGCTCGAACACTCTTCTCTCTGCTGAAGAACGGTCTTCTCTGCTCACTGTGTCCACTGTGGAATCGAAGCTCGAACTTTGATCCGATTCAGTGTCCTTTCTCGATCTGGACCAAGACGGTTTCAATGAGTTCTCTTCAGCATCGGATACACTTTCTATCGAGTTGTCTCTAATGTTGATCACCGTCGTTCCCTTCAATTGCGAGCTTGAAATCACCCTATCTTTAGTAATGATAGTCGTGGTAGTACCGATGGCTTTAGGAACGCTGCTCTTCGCTTCATAAGTAATTGGAACGCGCACCATTCCCTCCGCGAAAGGACTGCCTTCCTTTCTGGTTCCTCTTTCGATGTCTTCCGTGTGAACCTCTCTGATCTTCGTCACCGTCTGCGTGGTGACAGTGACGTTCAACAAGCCTGTGAGCAGAGCTGCACCGTCGGAGGAGATCAGGCCCCGTTTTATCGAGTTTTCCAGGGACACTGGCTTCTTAGTTCTGGGGTCTAACAGCAGACCAGTCTTGGGATCTAGGAGTTCAGAGAACACCGCCTCGAGCAGCGTGATCTCTTTACCCTCTTCTATGATTCCTATCCCTCTGTTCAACATCTCGGATACTTCCGGCCTCACGAAGCCTCGCTCTTCAGCTTCTGCCAGCGAGACGGTCTCTCCAGTGTTGGGATCCACGATATAGCTGCCTCCAGCCTTTGAGCTGATCAAACCCTTTAGCAGAGCAGCGTTCAAGCTGACGTACTCCCCTGTCAAAGGGTCTCTAAAGCCATCCACGTCGAATATCGTTTTCTGTGCCAGCGAGGTGACGAGCCCCTTCTCCACAGCCTCTGACAGAGCTAACTCGGCATCCTTGTCTCTGTACGTAGCCTTCTGCGGATCGATTAACCCACGACTCAAAGCCTCCGACAGCGTGACAGCCTCGCCTGTCCTTGCGTCTACGATAGAATTCAATCTATCTCCATCTAGAACACCTCTCTCTATCGCCTCGGTGACGGTCAACTTGGTCCTGTGCGCCGGACTGGTGATCCTTCCAGTCTCGTCGATCATCTCCGAGTCCCTGCAGTCTTTCAGAGTCATGGGCTTCGCGATCAGCTTCCTCCTGCGCGCCTCCTTCAGCGACAGCTTCTCCAGGGTCAAGCCGTGCATGTACTTGCCGGTCTTTGGATTGACAATGCCGAGACGCATGGCCTCCGGCAACGTGACCTTGGTGTCGTTCCTAGCGTCGACTATCTCCCTCGCGGTGGGATCCAGGATGCCCTTCTCGACCGCCTGGTCGATCGTGTAACTTTCGCCGGTGACGCGGTCTAGGACCCGGCCCAGGGTCTCGTCGACCAGGCCCTGGGATATCGCGTCGGAAAGGGGTAACGCGCTCCTCTTGACGGTCACGGTGACGTCTAGCTTGGCCAGGTAACCTCTGGCGTGCGCCTCCTCGATCGACAGCCTCTCGCCGTCTTCGGTGACGAGCTGCCCTGTGTGCGGGTCCATCGCGGACCCTACTCGCGGACTCATCGCATCGGCTACGCTAATCGGATCTAAGGCCTCGTTCGCATTGCTCGCGTGGCTCGCATCGCTAACGGGCCCCTGACTGTATGTTACCTTCGCTCTGTCCCCGGTCCCGTCCGGTTTCTCCGCGTCGTAGAGCTCCCGCTGGATCGCCTCGAGCAGAGACACCGGCCGTCCCTCCTCGTCGAAGCCGCACGGGCCAAGAAGACGATCCGCGAGCCGCGAGTCGATTATCTTCTCGCGCGCCGCCTCCTCGATCGTGACCGTCTTCCGGCCGTCCCGTGAGCACGCTATCCTACCCCTCCTAACGTCCAAGATCTGAAGGCTGATCGCCTCGCCCACCGTCAACACGTTACCCGTCCTCGGATCTACGATACCCCTAGCCTCGATCACGTGCTCTGTACCTACACCCTCCTCCGCCCTTTCTATTCGCTTCACGCTCCTAATCTCGCTAAACTGCACGCTGCCGCCGCTCGCGCTGCTCGCCCTCGACCACATAGACTCCTCCCGCTCCGCGCTTCTCTCATCCCGTTTATCCTCATCTTCCCGTCGATGAACCGTCTTCTCTTTGTCGAGATCATCGCGATCCAGCGCCGTGCCATCGTGCACCAATCTGCCCTCCTGCGAGCTAGACCGTCGCACCGTGTCCGAGACGATTGTCTCGGTTCTCTCTGTCCTTTCGGTCCTCTCGTGCCGCTCTAGGCTGTACCTGCGACAAGTTTGTTTGTTAAATACATGAATAGAAAGGTCTATGAGAGCTGGCTTTACGGCCTCTACTCACTGAGATTGCGTGTAGTGCGTCGTCGTCGAGGTGTACCGCTCCTCGGAACTGCTGCTCTCATAAATGTTGAACTCTGTGCGGAACGTCCTGAGCGGCCGTTGCTCCTGCAGGGCCCGCTGCAAAGTTGCAAACATATTTTCATTAGATACTTTCTAGTAAGAGGATAATACTGAGGGGAAACTAGATCCTCGTGGGGCCCATTAGCATAAAAGATCCGTCAAATCAAGTGAACGAGTAGAGGAAGTCCATTACAAAGTTCCAAACCAGTCTGCATTAACTACCCCTCGAGTTTAGAAAATATGGGGAATACGAGCGACTCTCTGATTAGCATAAAGACACTTGCAGAAGTGGTTTTCAAGGGAACGCCCACGGCGAAACGAATTCGTCTGGACAAGGTCCCGACGATGACACGCCTGTCTCGACGAAGCTCACACGCGTACGAAGAGTACACGGTCGGAATAATTATGCAAATGACGAAGAAACTAGTACAGATTGCGCAACGCCGGATACCATTTCTGTTTACAAAAAGAACCAGCAGCTGATACATCTCGACGGGGGTGGGTGTACAACGTTTCGTCATCGGCGTTCATTCTCCCCCGATAACGAACAGCTTGAGACGGCAATTATCGCGAGTCCGCATTTAGAAAGGCTGTGTCCGTTGGCTGACACGATCGTTAAGGAATTGGGAAAGAGCCCAAACTTGGTAAGCGGCTTCTCGGCCGAAGGTGTGTTGCGTTTCACGCGTCCAGCTCGATCAGTCGCCGAGAACGATTCTTGGCGTTGCGGTTTTCTCGAGGCGGAACGTTAGAGCGAGAAAAAGGGAGAGAGAGAGAGAGAGAGAAAGAGAGAGACGGAGAGGCCGAGGGAGGGCCGACCTTAGCCCTAAAACCGCTGAAACTTCCCGTTAATTGGATCCGCGAAATAGAACGCGATCGCGGATAATACCTCGCGAAACGGCAGCTATCCTCGCGGTTTAGGCAATCGTCCCACATCCCGCGAAACAACCTTCCAGTCACGCGAGCGGCGCGTCCGATCAAAGGAGGGCTTAATCTCCTGCCACGGTAAAGAAGCCTGCGATTCAATTAACCGAGTGCGGACGAGAATTTTTTCAAGTGCTCGGAACATCCATCAAGAAGCTTCAGACTTTCCCAAACCCCTGCAATTATACTTCCCGTGTCGGCTTGTTCGATCCGGTAAATGAGATGTGTAATTATGTGAACAATTTTCACTCTGACAGTGATCCTTCCGGTGGATCCCAGCTTTGGGAACGAAGCGTGTCGATCAATTTATTAATTTGTTTATCTTTTCTATGATTCGAATAGCGTGGATAATCGCTTGGCAACTTTTTACTTCGCACGTTGTAACTAATAATTACTAATTATGTTCTCTAATCGGTAAATAAACTGAAATGATAAAAGAAAGAACATATTCCCCGGCGAACTAGATTATATATCGAATACTTAAACAATGGAAGAAATGTTATCGTACACGTCGATTAGATCGCCGAATTAGCGGCGTTCGTTATCGCGTTCAACAATGGAAATCTCAAAACAAATCATCACGGATTCGACCGCGCCGATCAGCGGATAAAGTAATTAAATTTCGCTGAATATCCGCAGATTGCAAAATCGAATGAATCAGCGGTTATGGTCGAAGCTCGCAGTTTCCTAAGACGCGACGAAGTACAGTAATGTCTCCCTAACTGACGCTCAGATTGCGCACAAAAATGGACAATTTGGGAAGAGGAGATACGATTATTCGTAGCCTTGCAACTCGTTTTTATAGTTGTTGACAATTTCTGACTATAAAAACGAAGCGCGAGGCTCGAATAATCGTATCACCTTTTCCCAAATTGTCCACTTTTGTGAACAATCCGAGCGTCAATCAGAGAGACATTACTGTATACGTAGCAGCAGCGCGGCGGCAGAGCAACGGATGAATTACCACGTTGAAGAGCCTCTTGTCGATCGTCATCGTTAGTCCACCGGCCGGCGACGATTGCGGCAATAACAGATTAGACGCACGTTCCGCGAACCTCTCCCGATAATCGCTGTCCCGCTCCCGTGTCTCCGCGCGAGACCATGATCCCCGCGAAACAAGCGTTCGCGTGTTCGATCGGTACGGAGTGCAACGTGTCGACTGACTCTCGCCTCGTAGTTGGCAAGAAGCCTCGTAAACTCGTAAACGAGACGCGACCAAGTCAGAGTCTTTTTTTAGCAACGCCGCGGACTCGTTTGCCGGCTAGCCAGCGTTCTCTACGCTCGCTTTCACGAAACTACCAGGCGGAGAGGCCGGGACTATTACGTCGGCTCGTAAACATGCGAGCCTCGGGATGCCCATACGCTTCGAGAAATCGCTTCAACGTTAAGCTGGATCGCCGTGTAATCTGTCTCGGCGTCTACGCGGGTATCGATCCTCCTCGATCCTCGCCCACGCGGCGGTCCGCCGGACCACCCGGAAAGCCTGCGTGATCTTCCAATGAGATTATCTGTAATGAGATTATTTGAGAACGAAAATTTTGTTTCTGAGTTTTTATATCTAAAAGAATGTAGACCGATGAAAAACTTTCGATGGAAACCGTTTCCTTAGCAGATCGTCGGATATTTGCGAGAAATCGTCGAAAAACACGTCTCGTTAAGACACACTTGCAGGAAACTGCGCACTTATTCGTGCGTACGCGTTAACGACAGCGCAAATTTTCATTGTAAACGAGGCCCGATGTCCTGGTCGCTGGTCAATCAATTTTCTCGCGAGACTTCTCGAAAGGTATCAAATTATGAAAAACTTTGCTAGAGCCGAGAACTTTGTACTCGCTTGATAACCTAGAAATTGCAGAAAAAGAGAAAAATCGAGTCTAAACGCAGCCGGAGGAATTGCGATCGTAGTTGCAACGAGAGCCGGACAGGATCGATGCCGCGGAGAGGTATACGTTACGAGGGTCCGTGTAATTTCTGGCACGTTCGAAGTGCACACAGTTTGTCTAAGCGCCGGCGCATTATGGGTCGTTTCTATTCAGAAACGCCGGTCGCGAAAGCCGACGCGACGCAACGCGTCCGCTCGCTCCTCGAGCATGGAACATTCCGACGGCCTCGGCTGTCAGCATGTAAAATTAAGGCCAACGTAATCGATGACTAAGTCAGCGCACGTGCTCCCACCGCTCTCTGGCACGTGACGAACAGGAGAGCCGTCCCCACCCGGGCCGCCGGGTCACCGAGGATCGCCTCCAGGTCGCTCCGGATCGGGAGGCCGCGAGAAAAAGAGAGCCCGACGAGTCCCAGTTTTTCACGGGGCTATCCTCTCGCACCTTTCGCACGATCCTGATCCCCGGCATCGTCGATGGACCTCCGGAGACCCCGAGGCAGCTGTCCGTGCGCATCTCGCTCGGAATAACAAACGGAATCTTAGGAATCGCGGCCGGCACCAGACCGCCGGCCCTCCAAGTTTGCGCACCACCTACGGAGACGGTTAGCCTAACCCGGACGAGTGCCAACTGCAACGGTTCGCGCTCTGCGCCGTCGCTTTCTCCTCCCCCCTCTCTCGCGCCGTGTCCCGTGTGCGCGAGTACGCGTATCGATTCCGAGGCGGGAAGAACGAAACTACGCGACCACAGCTGTTATCCGGTGTGCAAATAAACGATCCAGTTTCCTCAATGAAACTCTCCTGGATCGCTGGTTCGATGTGAGGCACTAGCTACACGAATTAGCTCGAGAAATCTGGACAGATGAGATAGCTGGCGAACTCTAGACTCGACTGGACGCTGCTGCTGATAGCTGATTAACTGTAGAGTTAGCTAGATACTGTGGCTAAGGACCGTCAGAGATATGTCTCCCTTACTGACGCTCAGATTGCCCACTAAAATGGCTAATTTCGGGAAGAGGAGATACGATTATTCGAGCCNCCGTTTCCTTAGCAGATCGTCGGATATTTGCGAGAAATCGTCGAAAAACACGTCTCGTTAAGACACACTTGCAGGAAACTGCGCACTTATTCGTGCGTACGCGTTAACGACAGCGCAAATTTTCATTGTAAACGAGGCCCGATGTCCTGGTCGCTGGTCAATCAATTTTCTCGCGAGACTTCTCGAAAGGTATCAAATTATGAAAAACTTTGCTAGAGCCGAGAACTTTGTACTCGCTTGATAACCTAGAAATTGCAGAAAAAGAGAAAAATCGAGTCTAAACGCAGCCGGAGGAATTGCGATCGTAGTTGCAACGAGAGCCGGACAGGATCGATGCCGCGGAGAGGTATACGTTACGAGGGTCCGTGTAATTTCTGGCACGTTCGAAGTGCACACAGTTTGTCTAAGCGCCGGCGCATTATGGGTCGTTTCTATTCAGAAACGCCGGTCGCGAAAGCCGACGCGACGCAACGCGTCCGCTCGCTCCTCGAGCATGGAACATTCCGACGGCCTCGGCTGTCAGCATGTAAAATTAAGGCCAACGTAATCGATGACTAAGTCAGCGCACGTGCTCCCACCGCTCTCTGGCACGTGACGAACAGGAGAGCCGTCCCCACCCGGGCCGCCGGGTCACCGAGGATCGCCTCCAGGTCGCTCCGGATCGGGAGGCCGCGAGAAAAAGAGAGCCCGACGAGTCCCAGTTTTTCACGGGGCTATCCTCTCGCACCTTTCGCACGATCCTGATCCCCGGCATCGTCGATGGACCTCCGGAGACCCCGAGGCAGCTGTCCGTGCGCATCTCGCTCGGAATAACAAACGGAATCTTAGGAATCGCGGCCGGCACCAGACCGCCGGCCCTCCAAGTTTGCGCACCACCTACGGAGACGGTTAGCCTAACCCGGACGAGTGCCAACTGCAACGGTTCGCGCTCTGCGCCGTCGCTTTCTCCTCCCCCCTCTCTCGCGCCGTGTCCCGTGTGCGCGAGTACGCGTATCGATTCCGAGGCGGGAAGAACGAAACTACGCGACCACAGCTGTTATCCGGTGTGCAAATAAACGATCCAGTTTCCTCAATGAAACTCTCCTGGATCGCTGGTTCGATGTGAGGCACTAGCTACACGAATTAGCTCGAGAAATCTGGACAGATGAGATAGCTGGCGAACTCTAGACTCGACTGGACGCTGCTGCTGATAGCTGATTAACTGTAGAGTTAGCTAGATACTGTGGCTAAGGACCGTCAGAGATATGTCTCCCTTACTGACGCTCAGATTGCCCACTAAAATGGCTAATTTCGGGAAGAGGAGATACGATTATTCGAGCCTTGCGGTTTACTTTTATAGTTATAAATTGTCCATAATTATAAAAACGAGCCGCTAGGCTGGAATAATTGTATCTCCTCTTCACAAATTATTCAATTTAGTGGACAATCTCCACAGTGGACAATGAGCGTTACTGTAGTAGCTCGCGAAAGTCTCTACAGAACTGTAGAGACAGCTGGATACTATAGCTAAGAATTTCAAGATGGCTGTAGCTAGAGAATTGTAGAGATAACAAGACTCTGTAGCTAAATAACATGTTCACAGAACTACAGAGATAGCTCTGAACACTGTAACTAAATGTCTCTGGCCAGACCGTGCGAGAAACAAAGAGGAAGAAGGCTCACCTGAAGAGACGCGTCCTCAGGGTGTGCGGCGGCCATCTGCCTGACGCGGTCCTGGAGTATGTTGACCAGATTGGTGTACTTCTTGTTGAGATGGTCCAGGTCCCTGGCGACGTCCTCGACCGCCGAGGTGAACTCTCTCCTGGGTTTCTTGATCGAGGCGTCCAGCGACGGGCACAGGTCTTCCAGCTGTTCCTTGAACGCTCGAAGCCTCTGTCCATAGATCTAGGGGTGTCGGTTAGGCCCGTTACGGTTAGAGGATAAAAGTATTAGGTCTCGCCTGTGCGTCGCTACCCTTCTACACCGTCAGCGTAACCCCTGACCGAGATCTTCGGGAACGTCTCAGCGGTTCTAAGCAGCCGCCTTCCCGGGTCTACCCAACAACACCGGACAAGCTACAAGCCCGAACCTTTGTCAGCGTACAAGCGCCTCGTGTTACGTGGACCGCGAGGATCGGGAGCGAGAGTGAAAAGCCCGAGGGTCGCTCCACGGAGCTCCGAGACTCCGGGGAGTCCTAGCTCTTAGAGTCGACCCGTACAATGTACGACGAAGTGTTCGCGTGCAGCTCGAGCCACGGTGGACCGTGGCGTCCGGTTAGGAGGACAGTATCAGGGCGTGTTGCAGGTGTGTTCTCCAGCGACATCGTGTACGGTTGGTGTTCAAAGCCAGGATTGCAGTCCGAGGGGGTCTAACGTTAGCGGGTGTTCTGCAGCGACTACGTTATCAAGCGGGTCAAGCGGTGAGCGTGCCGCGGAAAGCGGAGAGGAACGAACGTAGAGCATCCTTGATCCCTGGAAAGAATAATCAAGACTCGCCGGAGAGTCGAGGCGCGTCCAAAACGGCAACGTTGAGAGTCCTGAAAGCCCGTGGAGGAAAGACCCAAAGATGGACGACGACTGCGGAGTGTCCAACGTGGCGATAGAGCGGCGACACAGTGACAACGGTAGCGCCGAGGTTTCGAACGGTGGTCCCATGGATCAGCATCCTCGCAGCGTGACCTCGCGGATCTAGGGGCGGGCTTCACGGAAGGTGGGACGCGACAGATAAAGGGGATCGCGACTCGGGGACATCCGCGAGAAGAACCGCGCGACAGTTCTGTGTAGCTACTCTAGACGTGGAACGGACACACGCAACATCCCATTCACGCAAGCGTTCATACACAGTAAGCTAAGAGGCTACCTAAGGCTACCTAGATAGGCCAGCTAGAGGCCTGCCTAAGGCTCGCGAGCTTTACCACCCAGTTCGCAGTCTCATCTCACCTTTCCCTCGCGGATCAATCGGCCGCCCGTCATGTTCACCGCCTCGATTGCCGGGGCGCGTTCCACCACCTTGCTCAGCAAGTTCTGCGAACCAATGACGAGTCGATGATATAGATCCGAGTCGAGCTTTTATCAATGTAGAGCGTATCCAATATTACCTTCGCGTTCTCCACTTCTAGTTTACCGTACGATTCGTCGACGAAGTCTACCTCGTTACGATAGGCATGTTCCAATTGCTGAGCTAGACTGTAAGCAGCTTCGGCGCTGCGGACTCTGTCCACCAGCTGGCCACAGACGTTGGTCCACCTCGCGTTCAATCGATTCACCTCCGCGTCTAATCTGTCCATGTCGGTGTGAGGTCCGCGATGACTGGACCTGGACTTCTCGACGAGGCGTCTGGTGTTGTGCGCATCCTCGTTCAGCTGGTCCATCGCCGACTGCTGCTGCGAGATGGCCGTCTGTAGCACCTGCAGGTCTTCCAGCACGTTCTGCAGGCTCTTGATGTCGGAGGGCAGCTCGTCGAACGACGCCAGCTTCACCTCGAACTCCGAAATCACATTGTTGTTCTCCTCGAGGCTGGACAGCAGGATCTCGACGCACTTGAGTCGTTCGACATAGAGGTTGCTGATGTTCCAGATGTGGTTCCACTTGGTGGTCACCGCGTCCAGCTTATTCCTCATTGCGGGAGTCTTCAGGGTGATGCCTCGGAAGGTCTGCTGTACTCTGTCAAGGTCGGGTGCCAAGCGACGCAGGCCCTGTTCGTAGTCCTTGTGCTGAAGGACCAGATGTTCCAAGCTGTCCAGGTCTCTGGGTAGCGCTGCCGCTATACGGGTGTTTAGGATCCTCTCGGCTTCGTCCAGCGCCTGCTGCAAGGCCAACACCTGCTCGTTGAAGATGCGACCAGCGTTCTTGGATTCTTCCTCCGCTCTGGCCCGCTTCTCCAGCTCGTCGAACAACTTGTTCACGTCGGCCATTTCTCTCTTGAGCCGCCTCAGTTGAGGATCGGCCGGGTCTCCTTCGTCGAACAGCTTCTCGGCGTCCTCGTTCAACGCTGTCCTGATAACCATACGTTGGTCTTGACCCATGGCCAGGCACGCGGGCAGATCCCAGTCCTTGACGACCTTGATAGTCGCGAAGATCATGTTCTGTCTGAGCCGCAGGTGCTTGCGCTGCCACAGCGCGACGCTCCTGTCGTACTGGCGTCGCAATCTCTCCGCAGCGTCCAGGGCGTCCTTATCCGGCGGCTGAAGAGCGAAACACACACCGGGAACCGGCGACTCGACGCCCTCCTGGTTCTTCACTCGCCACTTGATGCGGCCGGAGTTGTCGTACAAGGTGCACTGCTCTCCCTTCTCAATGGACATCTGAAACGATTCAATTTAGTACAATAGACAATTCGCTATTAGATATATCTCGTCACTCATCGCTGATCACAAAGCGTTCGACTCACGTTCACTTGCTTGTAACTGCAGACGCAGGTGACCTGCATGGGCCTGGTCACGGGCTGGCGGCGCTGCTTCATCGGCACAATGTCCTTCGCCTGCTCCACCAGCTTCTGCATCTGGTCGCTATAGGCGTTCAATTCCTCTCGCAGCTCTTGCATACCCTTCACGAGGGAATCGCCCTCGTTCAGCTCGAAATCGGACTGCGAGTAGATGGTGTTCAGCGTCTCGTCCCGCTTCGAGATCCACTGTTCCGCTTGCTGGACCTCGCGGAAGAACTGCTGGCTCTGAGCCGCGTGCTTCAGGTGCACCTCCAAGCACAGAGTCAGCTGCAGCAGCCAGGCCCATTGGCTCTGCATCGCGGACATGTATGCTTCTATGGTCTTTGCTGCCGGGTGATGCTGGAGAACCAGCGCCTCGCCGCGATCTTGCACCGCCGAGAACTGGATCTCCCGTTTCTCCAGGTCGCTCATCAGGGACTGAAAGCATTTCTCAATTAGCAGCTGCTCTATAAATTAAAGCTACCTCCGACAGTTAATCTCTCGAGTCCTCCTTTCTATTACCTCTAGGCCAGATCCGTACGTACGCTTGTAAAACAAAAGGAACGTTAAGAGGAGAGTCTTACAAATAGCATACGAATTAATGAACTACCTCATAATACTGCTCGATGGTCTGTACATTCAGGTTCTTATCACTCCAGTCCCGAGTCACCTCAATCTCCTCTTTGGCACTCAGCCAGACCAGTTCGCCGGTGGCCGACTGGATGAAATCATGCAACGTGTCCAAGTCGGAGAGCCTCTTGTTCGAGGAGGACAACAATTCGGAGTACAGTTTCTGCAGAACGGCGAGGTGCTGGCTGTACAAGGTCAGCTCCTCTCCGTGGAAGTGGTTCTTGGACTGCACGCATCTGTCGACCTTCGGCAGGAACTGCTCGATGTTCTTATGCTCTCTCTGATGAACCTCCAGCTCGTTCTGCACGCTGGTCAAGTCGGACCCGTAGTCCGCATCCTGGAGCTGCTTGATCTTGGCCCTGCACCAGTCGATGCAGTCGTGCAGCGCCCGGAAATGCGGATTGGTGTCCACTAGCCGGGTCTCGTGGACGGTTGTACGGTGTTTGGTCACCACGCGCTCTTCTACCGGGAATGACACAGCCGCCAGGGGCTGCACCAAGCGTTTGTGCAGCAAGGATCGCAGGGCGACCCACCGTTGGTGCAGCTTCTGGACCCTGGAAGAGGGAGAATGTCCGGTCAGCCAACCGACGAAGCTCTAACACTTTTTTTAGCCTCCAGAAGAGCATGTACCTTTTATGGAGCTCGGCTGCTTGGCTGTATCTGCCCTCGGTGAGGGTGTGCACGTCGGTGAAGATGTTCTGTATCTGAATCTCGGTGTTTCGTATGTCCTGCTCGAGAAGGTCTCCGGCATGCTTAGCCTCGAGAGGATGGAGTCTGTCCAGGCGCCTCGCCTCGTCCTCCACGCGTCTTTCTAGTTCCTCCAGCCGGTTATCGGTCGTCTTCATCTCTCTGTGGACCTTCTCGGCCAGTCGTTGTAGTCGTTCGAGTCTGCAGAAAGAAAGCAACCATCAGAAAGCCAACCGAGACTTGATTAAACTCTATCCAAAGCGCCGAAAGCAAGGTGTACCAAGAGCACTGAGTCTCAATGAGCTCACCGTTTGATTTCATCGATGATCGCCTGTTCTCTCTCCTGATGCAGCATCATCAGTCGGTTCCAGTTCTTCTCAATCACGTCGATATGTAGCTCCGGCTCCATGTCCACCTCGCCGACCGCTTCGAAGTACTTCTGTAGATCCCGGAAGATGTGGGACAGCCTCTGCTTGTCCCTGTAGCGAGGCGGCACCTCCTCGTTCTTGAACTTGGCGCTGTCCGCGGCCAGCTTCTTCATCTCGATCAGGGTCGGCGGGAAGGCCCGCTCCTGCATCAGGCACATCTTCTCGCGGATCCATTGCTGAAGAGAGCTGGTCAGCTCGCGGTACTCGGCGGATCTACGCTGGGCTTCGGCGTCGTACAGAGGGTGGATCGCCGGCGGCTCCGGGAACACGTCGTAGAGCGAAGAGATGTACGTTATCAAGGACTTCTCGTCCGGCTCTGGAGTATCCACGTCTGTTGGCAATCGAATAAAATCAGAAGCGAGCCGAGGATCTTGGAGAAATCGAGCCAAGGTTCTCGAACAAGGTCGTTGCGAGCAAAGCGAAGATTTCCGAGGATCGCTGGAGGATGTCGGGGAATTGGGGACAAATGGGAAAAGCTGTTCTCCAAAAAGAGGATGATGGAACTGGCTCTTATCTTCGCGGAGAGAGCAACCGGAGCGTCACGAGAGGCTCGCGGCGGAAGCGACAGGAGAGAAACTCGAAAGGTGAAAAAGGAGCATATCGATGGAAGAGTGGCGTTACCTTCGGGATCGAGAAGCCTCGTAACGCCATACTCGCGCTCCGCGACGTGGAAGACCCGGTCGAGCCGCTCTCTTGGCTGACTGGTGCGTGCTCCTCTCCAATCGACCAGGTCTGGCCTGTTTCGGTGGATCAGCGCGCTGAACGCCAGACCATCTCTCCAGGATCCGGTGAAGTCGGTCACTCGCACGCCAGGATAACGCGCCGTCGATCTTCGGGCCCATCGCAGCAGGGCCTCTCGGGCAGTGACGTTTGGTTCTTGACCCACTACTATGTCCGATATCTAAGCAGACAAACGACAAGGTTGAATTTAACGCTAGACAATCTCGAACGAAATGTTTCACATATTCCCGGCGAAAATTGCCGACATTACAACCTTTGGAAAAATATATTCGGACACCTTTCAAAGCGCAATAACCTTTGAATTATTATTATTATTATAAGTAAAATAAATATAATAAATATTAAATAAATAATAAATAAATATTATTAAATTATTATTGGTATTATATTAGTATTATATAATAGCTAATTAATTAGGGGATGATCAGGAATTGTTCGAATTGCTGTTAAATTGTTCATGGAATTCGTATAACAGAAGAGAAGAAATTCACGTCACTTCGTTCGATTTGGGAAAAAGTTATTCTGTTTGAAAAAGGCGTCCGAATATTAATGCGAGCCACTGCATGTTCAACGCTCGATGAGTTCAAGTATTAAGACACCTAGACGACCGTGCATAGATCTCGTTTCCGGTTGGTTCGCCCTTCGATTCGCCGACCTTACGTCGACCCTAAGGCCCAGTGGGGCCCAGTGGTCCGAATCGCTCGCACCAGAATGTGATCATTCTCGCTGGTCGAGAGCGAGGATCGAGGGGGAGCATTGCGGCTTACCCTGACGGTTTTCGGTCTCGGCGAAGCCTGACGGCTCAGGGACACGGTGGAGGAGGCGGCGGCAGTTTCCTGCAGGTAGCCGGAAGTGGCCCGTTTGGTCAGATCCTCGGCCACGCGTCTCTCCTCGCCGCGCGTCAAAGTAGTTGTTTTCCGAACGATCCGTGTCACGATACGTTTCGTGCCGTTCTCACCGCGTCTCGAGGTCTTCGTCGACTCGATCGACGATCCTGAATCGGCAAGGGGTCAATGGACTATCCGTCGATCCTCCGGAAAAGCTTTGCCCGACACACCGAGGCCCGCGATCGACGCCCGCGATCGATCGGGAATCGCGTCACGATCCACGCCTCGGCTCCAACTCGAGAGAGTCGGATAGATCGTGACGCGAATCCGCCAAGAGACGCCGAAGCGTTTCAAAGCGTTTCGAGGATTGAAATGCTGTCCTCCGACGGACCCGCGATAGCTCGCGAGGTCAACGGCGACCCGCGATGGCTCGCGGGGTCAACGCCAACCTCCGAGGGCTCGCGGGGTCAACGCCGACCTCCGATGGCTCGCGGCGCACCGAATCGTTGCCCATTGTCATCGGCGACACGCGCAATCTGATTACGTTTCGCGCGAGCTTAGATAAGATAACCGAAAGAAACGGAATCGTAAATCGTGCATGCCATTACGAAACAGTGTTATCGCGCGCCCGCAAGTTCGTTCATTCTATAAGATCGTTCTCGTATCGTCGAATTAGCCGTTCGCTTTGCGAAACGGGGAGAAAGTCGAGAAGAGGGTGATTCGTTGTGTCAGACCAGGCGATTTAACGTGATCGAAGTAACTGTTCGAAAATTAGGTTTACGGAACCCCCCCCCCGCCGTCAATATGACTTTGCATGCGAATTTTTTCATTTATGAATATTCAGATTGCATAGAGATACGGTTACGAGTTATTTATTCGATGTATGTATATATGTAGCAGTTGCGACGAACATTGCAATAACACTTCGTTCAGAATCCGAATAAATCTCTTATTTGTTGGTTTTACGAAGTAGTAGAAAGCAAGCTGCTTTTTAGTGCTCCCAGCGACGAACTGTTCCACATCGGTTACGACTGAAACAATTTAGCCTTTGCACTGTAATTTCTTTCGCGGCTACGTCGACCGGCAACTCGACGTAATCGATCGTTTTGCTGTGACAGAACACGACGCTATTTTTATTTCTCGTACGCAGACTATGAATCTTTATGCGAAATAAGAATCGTCCGCGTCGCGATTCAAAGTTACACAGACTAAATAGCAAGTTCGTACTTCTCCCAATCGTCTTAACAGAAAATAACCAATTTAACCATCCAAAATCCAAAGTAATTTTACGCAGCCCGGTGCACTCGATACTAATCAATAAAATTGAATTTCGCGACTCGTGCATTTCAGTTGCATTTTCGACAGTTTTTGAAACCTTAACGAATACAGTAATGTCTCCCTAATTGATGCTCAGATTGCGCGCCGGAATGGACAATTTTGGGAAGAGGAGATACGATTACTCGATCTGGCAATCGGCGATTACAAAAAACGAGTCGCAAGGCTCGAGTAATCGTATCCCCTCTTTCCCAGATCGTCCGTTTTCGTGGACAATCTGTGCGCATCAACTAGGGAGACATTACTGTATTCACAATTATTCGAATCATTTCGAGACGCTAATTCTCATCCGACAGAAATAAACCCACGAAACATCACGGTTCTCCGCAACAGTCTGAACCGATCGAAACTGTCGACTGCCGTCGAAACCTTCAACTCCAGGTGTAAACAAGTTTGACCCACGTGTCGCGGCGTCTAAGTAGAAACGGGAGGTCGCGGTCAGACGGACGCGGAGCCGGATCGGTTACCAGAAATCGTGGTCGTCCGAAAACCGGCGAAGAATTTCGCAAACATCGTGCAACCGAAACAGCACTGTTCGGGCCTCGTTCGGGCCTCGTTCTACCATCATCGTTTCCACGCAGAATCACCCGCTTTCCTATTGCAACACGGTTTCGCAAGAGACGGCGCGCACAGAGAACTGGTCGCGTGCGTCTCGCAGCGATTTTCCCAGCGGAATCTCGCGATCGCGGACGCCTCGGGCTTTTCCTCGGATCCGTCCGATTACCTAGAACCTCGGTGGAGAGCCTGCGTTTGGTGTAGACGGCGGTGAGATCGTCGGCGACGGGCGCGGCGGCGGCGGCCGCAGGCGCGACGACCGCGACGTTCTCGCGCGGATCGTCCTCCCGGGTGGCCTGCACGAACAGCCGGCCACCCTTGCTGAACCGGTAGATCGACATCTCTCTCGCGATCGACGGAAGATGATCGGTCTCGCGAAACTAGCATCGGCGCGGAACGCGAAAATCGCGCGGAGCTGTGTCGTTCGCCTTATCCGGCGCCGGCTCGGTCGCCGCGTGAAAGCCGATTATCGAGAATCGAGCGACCGCGGTCTCTCTCTCTCTCTCTCCGGGAGCTCGGCCCAATTGCACGCGTCCCAGGGCCGGGATCTCTCGATTTGCCGCACCGTCGCGTTTTTAGCACTCGCGCGCCGAGAAAGAGAGGAGAGGAGACAGCCGGTCGGTCGGTGGCGCGAGCCGGAGATCCCGTGTTTACCGAACCGGCGGGCCCAATGTCGGCCGAACGACAGCCAGCGGCAGGTAGCGGCTCTGTCTGGTAAACAGACAGACGGTGGGGAGAGCACCGACAACCGTTGCGATCGACGGCGACACACACGCGGGTTCAGAGGCCACCGATCGTTTCGCCGCGCGCCTCGCGAGCCTTCGACGAACACAAGTTCGACGTCGTCGCGTTGGCCGAGCTCTTTGCTCGCGGTTTCTCTTTTTCCGTTGCCTCGCACGATATCTCACTCCGGTGCTGCGCGTTGTTTGTGGGTCTTCCCGAAGACTCCACCGGCAGCCACGTGTCCCCGCGCGGTTCTGACGCGCTGCTCCGGCCGGCCCGACGAAGACCAACAAGAACACCGAGCCGAGAGATTAACGCTTCACCGCGAACGAGACACGACAGGACGACGGTCGTGTCGCGCGATCACCAACGCGGTACCAACGAACCGACAGCGCACCGCGTTGTATCCGGCTGCCGTCGCGAGAGTAGGCCAACGAAATGCGCACAGGTGAGAGACGCCTCCGACTGCGGCCCCCCTCTCGCGCTCCCCCACTCTGACCCTCTCTGTCGCTCTTCTCTCTCTCTCTCTCTCTCTGCCGCACTGATACTCCCGCTCTTTTACACCGATTGTTTCTCTCTGTTCTTCCAAATGTCTCTCTTTCTCTCTCTCTCTAGCTCTCTTATTCTCTCTCCCTCTCTCTCTAGCTCTCTTATTCTCTCTCTCTCTCTCTCTCTCTCTCTCTCTCTCTCTCTTTGCCTCGTTGGTACTCGCACTCTTTTCCTCCGATTGTTTCTCTCTGTCCCTCCAAATGTCTCTCTCTCTCTCTCTCTCTCTCTCTAGCTCTTTAATTCTCTCTCTCGCTCTCTCTGTCCTTTTTCCCACTTTTTCCACCGTTCCCCCTGCGGGTTCGTCGCTGTCATACCGAGCACGGCTGGCTCCATCCTGCCCACCCCTGCACATCGACGTCACCTATCTTCCTTCGCTTCCGCGAGGTTCGCCTCTCTCTCTCCTCTCCTCTCCTCACCACTACTCTTCACTTCACTTCACTCCGTTCGGCTCTGCTCCTCGCCAAGAGTCGTCCTACTCCTCGGATTCTCGTCCTCGCGCGGACGCGTCCTCGCGATTCGCGAACCACGATCGTTCCACGCGTCCCACGATCTCTCGGCGAACTATGTATAGCGCGACGCCTCGACCATCTCAATAAGATTGCTAATGCGATATTGATTGCGACCGATGCATATAACGAGCGAGTCGGAATCGATTTCCGTTCCGACAGGAAAACACGCTTCGCCTCGTCGAAATGCTAATCGATGCTCCGTGGAATCCGAGCGATTCGATCGACTTAGAGCGATCGATACAATTAACAGGGGAAACGTGGCAAAATAAATTGCCGTTTGGTCGCTAAGAGATGATGTTCTGGTACTTGGGCAGGATGTTTAACCCTTTTAGGGGCGGGCGATGATATGTCGCTGTTCATAACACTTGCGAAATATATATAAATGTAAATATATATATTTATAAATAATAATATAATATAAATATAAATATATATACTTACATATATATATATATTTATTCATTTATATATATTTATAGATATACATTTATTTATATTTTATATATATACTTATATACAGGGTGTTCGGAAAATCGTGGTACATTCGGTAGAGGATGATCCTGCATGCAGGATCCCTTTATTTCGCACTATGCTTCTCTTTCAATTTTCAAAATATCATTCTCACTTTGGTTTTCATGAACTGTTTCCCCAAACGCTATCAA